AGAGCATGATCTTGGACTGCAAATTTTCATGGTTATTAAGTTTTAGGTCATTTTAGACCATTAAATAGACATAAAAAGATCTAAATTTCTGTTATGTGAAGAATTATGTCTCTAAATTTCTGTTATGTGATGATTCATGCGATAGGATTAGTGAGCTTCCAAGAAATACTATTGTCATTCAGGTATTTGGGTTGGATTGCTCCTTGTTTTTGTTGTCTTTTGCATTTTACAGTAATTTGAGTACATTTTTATCTTCTATCCAAGCTCAGAAAGCAGAGAGGGATGCTACAGATTTATAAACTTAGAGTTTGGTAAAAAGGTATAACATGAATTGAAGTTTTAATTGTAGTTGATGTGAGTTCCAAGTTGATGAAATAATATATTGGTCTATTATCTCTCATCTTTTGCAGTGGGAGAAGGGAAATAGCACATACACCCAACAACAACTTGATGAAGTGAGAAATGAATGGCCAGAATTTGTGAGTCATCTCATGTACTAGCTGTGTAGTTACCTAGTCACTATTTTGTGAGTTTTGGCTATGGATAGTTAGCCTACCTAAATGTAGTCATCAGGAGTAACGGTATATGTTGTATAGATGTGGTAGGGTTTTGAACTATGACAGAATTGTTAAAGTAAGATGTATCTTAAGCTTTTATGAAAAATGCAGGTTTTTGAGTCTGAATAGTCCATTTGGACCTCAATATCCAGGTTGTATGTAAACATGGGAGTGGGTTTCTTGTTCCACAAAGGTATAAATCATCTTCCCAATAAGCAAATCCAAAATAAAACTGCGATTTAGCTTAAAACAGCGACGTAGAAACAAGGATGGCATGCCAAATTTATTTTAAACATAGACGTAGTAAGTAGAGAACTACGTCCATTTTTATTATCAAATTGACGTTGTAAGATTCATACTACGTCTATTGTTTCAAAGAAATCGACATCGTAAGACACATACCATGTCCAATTTCTTAAAGCCATAGACATGGTACAACCGATACCACATCGCTTCTCAAGTAATACTCGACGTAGATGTTATTCAAAATGTCTATTTTATTTATAAAAAAACGACGTGGGATAATATTTCCTATGACGCTTTTTAAGATATAGAGATGTAGAATGTTGTTTCAAAGTTCGATTTTTCTTCCAATGGAACTTGAATGACGTCGCTTTTGGACAAAAAGTGACGTGGATTAATATATTCCATGGCGGTGAATCACCATCGTGGTTAAGATTTTTAAAGCATATTGGTAAAGTAGACATCACTTTTTCACCTTGAACCACAATGGTTTTCCACCATTGTTTCCATCATCTTCCCAACTGCCTCGATCGTCATCGTATCGATTAGTAACACCAAAAATACATCAAGAACTTGTAGGAGAAAATTAACCTAGCTATATTTCAGAGTCTGAAGAAAGAAAAATAAGATAATCTAATCTTAATACAGTACATTGCTTTTGTTATTATATGCCCTTTTCTTTTACATATAACAACTAGCTAAGGCAATATCTAATCTTTATGACACTTGCTATCATCCTATCATAATGCTCTAACAGAATCTAAGTTTATTTTATTTTATTTTTTCACATGAAACTTACAATAACTTGAGATATCTAAACACATCATTCCACCTCATCCATCTCATACCATTTGAACAAAAGTATTTGTGGGTTGATTCACCATATCTCGTAATAAGAATATATATATATGCATAAAAATGAAGTGTCAATAACAATGTCACAAAAAAATTTGGTGACTAGCTAGGATTGTATTGGATTGGATATGTTGTTAAAGGAGGAAATGAAGGTCGGTGAATGATTTTCTATTCTGGGGACGATTAGGAGGGATAATTTATAAAATGTTGTTATTCTACCATTTTGTGGGGATTATGGGATAAGTTTTCTCTATCTTTTTTAAATTTTTGTGATGACCTTTTCTATTGAGATGAGCAATAATTAACATACTAAACTCACACACACTACACATATGCTAGGACTCGAATCCAAGACCTTTTTTTTTACGAGAGCATTTGCTCTAAACCACTACTAATCGGTCTTTTACAGATAAGTTTTCTTCGTGAGTAATCAATTTTTTACCTTCAACATGATCATGGGTTTTTCATTTCTTCCTTAACATACTTGAAATATAAAGAGTTATCATATTCAGCCCATGCTAACACCAAACGAGCCCAAAGTTTCACCCAAAAAGAAATTGGTATTGATTTCCAAAGACAAATTTGAGTAAGTTGGGTTCAATCTCCAAAATACAAACCAAAATGAATATTTTAGAAAAAGGTATCCAGCGTGGCAGACGAGCTGGAGGTGACAGTAGAGCCTGAGAGCGTGCATGGACTGTTGATCCCACATACCGAATGTGCAGCGCAGGCACTTGCCATGAGCTTAGCATACGTCGACAGACCTACATCCCACTAGGAAAAACGTATGGAGGGCAGCCCTGCCATGTCATCGCTCCCTCCTGTTGGCGCCAAATTTCGCTGCCCTTTTCATGTCAACGTGTCCAATATCAAGATCTCAAACAAATTACAGAGATCGCAGAAGAAAGCAACATGTCTGTTGGAAAGGATATGGAATAAGAATTTGCATATGCGAATATGATGATATTATCCCTTTCCCTATTATAAATATGCAGACATGTACTGGTGCAGTCTGCAACTAGCTTCCGTATACACTGCATGCTTATTAAATTTCTTTGGTCAATTTCTTAGGTAAGCAGGTCCTTTTTTTTTTCTTTTCTATCTAAACCCTATTTTTTATATGTCAGTTGCAATGGTGAATGTCAATAGCAAACAGTTACTTGCTGCTTCCAAGTTGGTTTTTAAGGAGGAGGAGGAGCTGTTCAAGACACAGTTTCATGTTCACCGGAAGAATGATTGGGATGATGATGATGACGACGATGACGATGATGCAGGCAGTGTTGCGCCAGCCGCATAGCTATATATATGTTTATTGGCATTGAGAGAATTTGAAGCACTTCCCAGCCTCCTAGGAGTGAGCTTTGGCACTAGTTGAACAATGTTGAGCTTTGGCACTAGTTGTCTCAGTTAAAGATTATTTTTTGTTTTTAAGGTTTCAAATCGAGTACTATTAGAACAAAAGAGAAAAACAAGTTTCTCGGCTCTCTCAGCTTGTCTTGTTTTTAATAGTACGTTGACAATGTTAATCTAAGCTTAAGTTCATTACAAAATCCGAAGTTATCTGCTTGTCTTGTTTTTTAAGTTTCTAATGTATAGGGCCAACAATATAAGAGCATCTCCAAGGGAGATGTCAAATACCAAACATCAAATTTAAATTTGATGGCTGATGTGGCAATTTGACATTTAGATAGTTTTACACTCCACCCGATATGTCAAATAAATAATTATTGTAACAGTCAAATCATTTAAGATAAAGAAGAAAAAAAATTAAAAAAGGAAAATAATAAATGAAAGTAATAGCCAACTATCTTTTAAAAATAATAAAATATTCATTTGACATCTTGCTTTTGGTATGTCAAAAATAACATATCAACCTCCAGCCTTCATTCCACATCAGTTTTGACATATCGGTTGGAGTGATGTGAAATGTTATTTCTAACCGTTAAAGGTCTATGTGGCACTTTTGACACATCGCTTGGAGATGCTCTAATAAGCCACTTCATTTTGAAGGGCCGAATAACCATGCATATTCTGAGTCTGATGAGGCAAGAAAGCTCAGTAAGATTAAGATATTTTATCAAAGAATCTCAGCATATAGATACGAGATAGTGATTGGTATAATAATTATAACCTTATCACCGACCAATGTTATTTCGAAAGATATATGTGTGCGATCGCGCCTGTTGTGGTAGGTACACTAATCCGTATTGCAATGAGTCTAGCTACTATTCGTCAATAATTAAATCACCATTAGTTTGTCTTTCAAATGGTAGCTTGTTCAACTCAGAAATATAGCATGAAAGATCATTCATTGAAAGGTCATTTTAAATAACCAAGGTGGTTGGTGTGAGTGGTTCGGCACTCTCATTCCTTAAGAGAAGGTCAGGGGTTCGATCCCTGCTCTCGTATGGAGTCACCACTTTGGCCAGCACTTTACCCCTTACGGGCCGACCCGGTGTGAGCGGGGATTAGTCTGGGTTGTGGTTAAGGCTTAAAGGTGCCACCCATAGTTGGGGCCCATCCAGGACCACCTCGTGGTTCAAACCAAAAAAAAAAAAAAAGGTCATTTTAAATACCAAGCTATGGGCACAATTATATTTTTCATGTACTCTAACCACAACCTATATGTCTAATTCCAATATGACCAATTAGATTACCACTGACAGAAACAAAATGACAATGCCTTGCCTACTCAACTAATTGGGGTCTAAATTTCATAAAGATTCTTGGCCGGGTTAGAATTTCTGATATGTTTCCATTCCGAAAGAAAATGAAGTTTTTATAACGAGAGGCTATGTTGAGAAGTTACAATGAGAAGATTCAATCCAACAGTTCAATAATAACTCTACACTAGATTAGACGGCTACTAAGGACCCACCCCCTCATTATAACCCTCTAGCCTTCCTGCACACGAGCGGCCAGAAATGGGCTTCACATTGTACGCATGATCCAGTTTTTCTCCATCTTCTTTTAAAGTTGCCCCGTTAATTAAAGTGAGAACTGGGTTTCTGTTACATTACACAAGGTATAGAAGGGCCCAATTGACATTTCCTAAATGAGCAACTGAATCTGACCGTTAATCTCGGGGATCGAACAGTAATCCTGTTACTAAATCCTGCAGCTTACCTTAGAAAATCCAGACCCAATTTGTCTTTTTTAGGTCGCTCGGCAGGCAAAAGTATCGTCAAATCAGACAATGTGATCTCTGTTTCATCACTCGACGCTGATGGTTCATACAAATCCAGCCGTCCTCGTCCTCAGTTTCTGGGACCTGGAAAGAGCAGCTGACGTGTACCTTCTGAGGACCATGTTTCTCCTCACTCTTTTTAGCCCACCAAATGGTTTGGTCTCTACTGTTCAATTCAATCTTCCATGCTGCTTCAACCAATACCAACTATCTCTTTCCTCATTTGAGTCACTTCTCTTTGACAAGTTCATTAATTTCACAAGTCTTTGTCTCTGCATTTCCAAAATTCTTGGGGGGCTTCTGCCAGAATTCTGGCAATTTAGTTCTGTTTTGAGCTGAAACTTCTTCAATATCAGCAACCCATTTCTTGTTTTAGATTGTTTTCTTTTTTCTTGAACTCAGCAGCTCCAGGGAAAGGAATCATGGCTATGCATGTTAGCAGTGCATGCTTTTCTGTTTTTAGTCACAGGAGAGTTCATAAGATTAGAGCTGTTGCTTCTGAAAATGTGACCACAGAGGATGATAAGGTGAAACTGGGGGGTTCTGATTTGAAGGTGACAAGGCTTGGGATTGGAGCTTGGTCATGGGGGGACACCAGTTATTGGAACAACTTCGAATGGGATGGTAAGTTGCAGAAATAATTGAAAAACTGAGAATCCCTTTTCAAATTGATGCTTTATTTTGGTTATAATTGTGGGTATATTTGTTTCAGATGAATTTTTCAGAGTGTTTGAGACTTTATGTCTTTCCATATTCACTTTTATCACTTGGGGAAGTGTTTTTAATTTTGCTTAACTTTTTACACCTGCAATTACAATGTAAAGCCATCATCAGCTTCAAATTGTACATGAGAGGAAGTGAGCTATATTTGTATGATTCAACTTTATGCAATGGAAATTCTTGTTGGTTGTTTGATGGGTTTTTTAGGTGGGGCAATAAATCTTAAAATTCAATATCTTTCTGAATTGGTTGTATTGGCAGCCTTCTTGTTAAGATTATGAAATGCTTAGGTATATTGGAAAGTGGAAATTATTCAATTGTGTTCAATATGGCAATATGTTTTGTGTAACTTGCAGATAGGAAGATGAAGGCTGCTAAGTCTGCTTTTGATGTCAGTGTTGATGCTGGTATAACCTTCTTTGATACTGCTGAAGTTTA